CAAATCAACCAAAAATCCTCGAAACAAACAAAACCCCAGAAACTTCTAGAGGGGAGGTGAAAGCCACATCCAGACAAGTTTTATGGTCATTATTCCCATGCAATACTGTATGGCACGCTGAAAAATATTTAAGAATAATACCAATTTAACGTGAAATCAAATGCCAGAATGGATGATACAGTGGTTGCATTATTGAGTAGCATACTGAATTCAATTAAATCTTGTCTTGTTAATAAATCTTGCATCACTGCTGACAGCTGCTGTGAAGAATCCTGAGATTGTTCTGTGAGGACGTTCAGCCTGTTCCTAGCGGTGCCTGAGGAGCTGGTGGATGGCTGCCCAGCACAGTAAAATGATTGCATCTTGTGAGGTTGACTGCAGATTGCTATCACAGTAATAAAAGCCAAGTTAAAAATTACAAAAGCCTGGTACCTCTAAAAGCTTATGAGCCATAGAAATTGCCTACTACTAACTCCTTACTGCTTCTGAGTAATTGTTTATTAGGTTGCTGGCTAGATTTTAAGTTGGAAGAATTGGGAAAATTGCTGTTGGTCTTTATCACAATCTCTTTTTCTGCTGTTCTGATGCAGCAGCTGTTGCTGGGAATCAAACCCCTGATCCACAGAGAAGGAGGAATAATTCATTTTTCCAGATAACGTTGCATTACCTGTGTACGCATTTCTTTCCCAATGGAGCATGGGCAAAAAGGAGCAAGTTCTACACAGGCAGCAAGGCTAAAAAAGAAACAATCTACAACTTATGAAACTGGTAGATTATACAGAAAAATACTTCACACCCTTCTTTCATTCTAAAGAAAACGCCAATTTTTTTTTTATCTGATTACTGTTCTTACCCTTTTTTTTCATGTCACTATTTACAGAAACTTTTAGGAAAGAATTTGTGTCTTTTCTATTAATTCTTAGGTTTAGAACTATAAAGATTATCTTCCTGAACTAACCACTCCCTCTTAAGCCCAGTTTTGAAATGTTTCCATTATGCTATTGAGAAGTTTAGAGAGATGACCATTCAGAAAAGTGTTTAAAGTAATGATAAATAAACAATAAACACCATGAGGGTTAAAGATTAAAAATTAAACTTTTAACTACTATCTCCTTGCTTTGCAGCCTTAATACGTGCACTGTGATTCCTCCTCTACATTAACATTCAGAAAGTTTTTCCCCATGAACATGTAATTGTTTGTATTAGAAGCTTAAATGTTGTACTCAAAATTAGAATCATGCCTGTGGGTATTTAAAATGGAAGAATAATACCAGCTAATGACTTCAGAATAACTAGTAAAATTACATCAGGGAGAGTACTTCATATTTTGCAGATTGGCCAAATTTATATTGATGAGAAATACATAAGATTTAGCTCAGTAAAATTTAATGAAACCAAGCATATACTGAGGAAAGGGAAGCATGCAGGCTTATTTGTGGCAACCAGAAATTTGTTAACTTTTTATTTTAGAGATAAATGAAGTTCTGCTTTATGAAAATTTCTTGTTATTTTTCTAAAACATTGTTATACATTTAGATGTAAACAGTTATATGGTCTTTCAGATAGGTTTCTTTAGTAAATTGTATTTATTGGAAGTGGTTTCTTCACAATAATAAACGTATATCTTCATTGAGAGTCCACATATTCCTGTGCAGAAAGAATTCAGTTTGAAATACAAAGGAAACCAGAAGAGTTGCATTTCAGAGTTACAGGTGTTTTCTAGAAAATTACTCCACCATTTTTCTGGCTGTTTTCACCTTTGTAACATCTTGGGTTCAAAGATAACTCACACCTCCTCTGAAGAGTGCACAGCTCTTACCTTGGGCTCAGGTCACTTCCAGCCATCATCTGGCTTGCCATGTGAGCCATGGTTCCTGTCACAGGTTCTGCTTCCTCCAAGATGTACAACTGCTTCTCACTTCTCTCCTCAGAATTTGGGGGATTTGTTTCATCCTCCAGTTTCAGTGGAGTTTTGCTTTATCTAATAGGGTGTATGCTTGAAAAAACTTCTTGCTGTAGAAGATACAAGAGACAGCAGTTTGGATCTTGCTATTAATTACAATGAGCCAAGAGGTTCAAGATGAAAATAGGATCTGTATTGTGAACTTCCTAGTGAAGATACAGAATTTGGAAAGATTATAATTGAATTAGTTAATTAAATAACTTATCTATTTATTTATAAAATACTTGGAGAACTTCTGGTAAAATGCTAGACACTTCAATAAAAGTGTCACCCAAAAAAAGGGAAATAAAAAATCAAATACACCCATGCTGTAATGAACCAGATAAATCTTTCAGGCAATCAATGGATGCACAAGCACTAAAGTAGAACAATATAAATCTCATGTTTAAATTCAGACGGTTTATTCAGTGATTGAATCAAATTAAGAGCATGTGTGTGATGTTCTGCTAGCATAGAAATGCTATAGGGAATGAACAAAAAGGTAAGCCTAATAATGTATCTGTAGAACATCTGAAAGGAAGCAGAACAGAACAACATGTTTTAACCAAACAGCTCACAAAGCAGGCCTCTTATGTATCAAAGCCAATTAGGACAGAATCCAACAATTACAAAAGATATTTAGTCACAAAGAGATACCTGGCAATGTTTTGTCTTATCTCTGAAGCAGATCATTATAAAGGCTTCCTGTCCTATTTCTTCACGACTTCTTTTCAGGAAAGTCTATTTCCCTCTCCTCAGGAGGAGAATGGGACCCACCAGAGCACCTCACTTGGCCCCCTCCCAGGCATCCCGTGGGCTGCAATCCAGGCAGGGAGCAACAATCAACTGCACCAGCAGAGCTCCGATTCTGCCTTTCCCCACCGTCCTCCTCACGTGCACAACGTGGGCTCCAAATTCTGATCCCATCCAAGCTGTGGCACACGTGCACAGAAGCTTCTGGATGTACCAGGGAGTCACTGCAGCACGAAGCTGAGCCACGAGTTTTGCCGCAGCAGCAATGTGGGCGCTGCTGGCCTGGCACAGTCTCAAATTCCCAGGGAAAAAAAAGGAATTATGTGTAACAGTTAATGTAGGGAGAAGTAGGGTGGGCACCAGATGAGGAGTTTCTCACCCTGTCAACATCAGCTTTTGTTGTTATATGATTTTCTATGTCTGGAGCACAGTCCTTGAACAAAGCAACAGCAACTCTTTTTACATTTGTAGAAAATCTGGATGGAATAGGCCTCCAGCAGGTTGTTGGGGAGACTTTCATTCCTGCCTATATGAGAAATGGGGGGAATAGAGGTAATTAGCCAGCCTTTATCCCAGACTGATGCCTAAAGGTCCCATTGTTTATTTATGCATAGCAATATTTTAGAAACTTTTCAGATTAATGGATTTACATGCTCTCAGTTGGCTCTTGTTCTTTTTCTCTTTTCTTGGCCATCCTCCACAGACTTGCAATGGAAATCACTGCACAGTTCTCCCTCTCAACTCAGCCTTTGGGTTTCTAACTCAAATGTATCACTCTTTCAGGGGGAAATGTGTGTGCCCCACAAGTATGTTTTTCTAGGCTTCCTCCTTGTCACTGTAAAATCAATGTAAAGCATGTCCTGCTGGTTGTCTAAGCAGGGAGAGAAATTGTGTCATCCTCCACCAGAGACACTTGATTGCCACTTGACCTGTCTACAGTCCACTGTTAAGTCCTATCCATAAGTAATCTGACTTTTTAATGGGAAGTGTTTTGGTTTAGAATAAGGCAGATAGTGTCAGTGTTTCTCATGCGGGTTTTGCCCTCACTTTATTTCAATTAATCCTTCAATAACAAAACAATTGAATATAATATGGAAAATCAGTTTATTTTCTGAA